TTACCCGTGGTTATAAACGCAATGCCGTTATTTCGTTTTATTGTATATATAAATTCAAAAAAAAAAACTGCTTGGGGGCTAACAGTTACATCACGTTGACAACACCGGTTCTCGTACGATCAACAAGCTTAAGCAACGTTGAACCTGGTCAGTAGGTAGATGGGTGACTGTTTGTGAATTCCCTGTGCTCTAAACTTAGATGTGCCGGTTGTTTTATGGATAATGTCTCAGAATTTTTAATCGGTGGGTCTAGTTTCAAATCCCGTTGAGTGCCTTATATTCACATACCGCAAATACCCTTAGGAAAAAGATGAATCCACCATTTCTCCTATCGGTTAATTAGTAAGACTTTTATCACTAAAAATCATTATTATCTACAAAAAAAAATCTTACAATCTAAAACTGTTTTCTGGAAGTTAAGCAACGTCCATCCTAGTCAGTATTTTGATGGGTGACCGTTTCGGTTAATACTCTGTCCCGCTGAATTCATTATATTCGCATACATGCAAATACCCTTTGGAAAGGTATGAATCCAACACTTATCCCCCAGCTATGGATTAATTAGTAAGATCTGTATAAGTACAAAATCATTATTATTTAAAAAAAATAAAATCTTACAATCTAAAAATATTTTCTGGCTTTAAATAATTGAAGTTAAGCAACGTCAAACCTGGTCAGTATCTTGACGGGTGACCGTTTGGGAATATCCGGTCTGTAAGGTTGGATGTGCTGGTAGTTTAAAGGATATTGTCTCGCAATTTTTAATATGAGAGCTGAATTACGATCCCCATTGTCGTGGATCCCGCGTGAAAAATAGGCATCCAATAAATGACAAACGCAAGTATTTAAGCTAAGAAATTAGATGTATTTACACAAAATACAAAAGGTAATGCTGTTAATAAAATCCAGGAACACGGTTAGTAGCAAATACAGACAGATATATACAGTCTCGAAGTAGGACTTCCTTAGAGTCTACGTGCTTGTAACTGACTTCTACAAGAGGTTACTTCACTTATCCGACACTCACAGACGATCCGACACTCATGTACGACTCTTGGTACGACTCCGGTACGACTCATCTTCTCTGCCTGACTGTGACTATTTTATGGCAGCAGGACGAGTCCATTATATCCGAAAAGGGTGGACCCCATAGCACCCATTGAGTTCGTTATTGTTACATACGCCCAAATACCCTTGGTAAATTCATGAGTCCAACTCTTCTCCCCCTTGCTGTGGGTTAATTAGTCAGACTTGTATAACTAAAAATCATTATTATCTTAAAAATAAATTATTGCAAAACAAAAATATTTTATGGCATTAAATATCGTGCAAAAAGGTTAATAAGTCGTAGAAAACGAATCAATTAATCAAAACATTACCGGGAATTCAAAAATTATGTCTACTTCAGTGGCGATCTCAAGCGTTTTTCACGGACATGAATTGAAATGCTTGTACTGATTGACTATTCAAAGTCTGCTGCTCGGAAAGTGGATTCCATGTGTCATTTCTTTCATACCATAATTTAACTTGTACCTTTAGAAGTCTACCTTTCGTCCGTGTACTGGATATTTTCGTCACATTCTGCTGAGTATCTAGAGATTCTTGTTGTTATAGTGGAACACACCTATTCTATAGTTAATAGACTCTCCCACCGATAATAAGTAGGAGTAGTAAGAGTAACGAGTCAGTCGGTGAGTCAGTCGACTGGCTGATCGGTTGAACTCTCTGCCTTCGGGCGGGGAGGAACCAGAAGGAGGCTACGCCGAAGGGCGGACTCTCTTTCGGGGAGGTAAACCGACCCTGAACACGTTTATACGGGTTCAATGGGCATATTTTTGGCCGAGCCTAAGGGCTCGGAGATCCCACGTTAAAAAGCCTTGTGCCACATGACGCCTTCGTGGGGGTAGGTGACTGAATATCGTCGGTGAGTCAGTCGATGAATTGAAATGCTTGTACTTTACACACGCTCTATCTCTGATATTGAGCACTTTATTCCATAAATATAGCACACCTTAAGACTATATATATATATATATATATATATATATATATATATATATAAAAAAGAAAGAGCAGTAAGATATTTCATTATTTTTGCACCAACCTAATATTACCTCCACCGTGCCTCCATGATTTAGTGATACAAGTCTTACTAATTATCCCATACCTGGGGGAGAAAATGCAGATTCATATCTTTCCCAAGTGTATTTGTGCGTAAGTGACTACAACGAATCCATCTGCAATAAGAAGTCGACTCTCCGATTAAGAATTCCACGCCGATATCCAATACCTGACACGTACAACCAATCTTACAGCTCCGGGAATTTCTAAGATGGCATTCATTTAGGTTACTGACCAGGAACGATGTTTCTTAACTTCGGTGATCGTACAGGAATCGGTGTTTCAATGATATGCCTGTTAAAAATTGCCAAACAACCTGAGTATGTTGATAAAAGCAACAGTAATAAGATGAAATGTAAACTAGTTAATAATGGTTCACTATACTTCATCTAAGAACGTCGGGCAACTTAAGACTATTACGTCTACATTTTCTATTCAATTGATAGAATATAATGAAAGAAAAGCTTATCAAATATTAATTACAGCTGACAACACTTCATTTCCCTAACTCTAAAATGAAATATAAACGAGTCAAAAACGAATTATGAATTTGCTTCCCGGAAGTCGATATGACAACTTTTGAATATTAAGATCACTTCTTTTTCTTTCCTGTCTATGCTTCTGAAATAATAGCTGCAGAAAATTTCACCTTTAGAAAGGCAATAAAGCCACTAAGACCCAAGAGGAGAGTATGATAAAAAAGAAAAAAAATACTACCGGGGAGAGAGGAGAATAAAAGAAAAAGATAACGATTGATATTACATTTAAATTTTTGAAGATCAAAGTTGACTGGGAAGCTAGATGCTGGAAGATAGTTCTACAAGCGAGAAGTGCGAGAAATTGTTAGTATAGAACTAAATGTAAATTGATGAGATCTTTCCGCTGCTCTTAAATTAATAAAGTTTAGATACCATTGATGTAGGTTCATCAGAACAATTACAAGGACATTATTTATACAAAAAAGGCACACTGAAGCTACATTACGGAGGTTGGAAAGTGACTGGCGGCGAGATGTCAGGTCAGGACTAACAACATTGCAGATTGCAGATACAAGCCAATCTGTTTCATGATTAAAAAACAACAATCACAAACAATTGAAAGTTAAACAAATTTACAAGAAAACAACCTGGATAATAGCCCCCAAAAGAATATTTCGTCAAGCTCGCCATATTATTATAAAAGGAATTGTATCAGTCATTTTAAATAAGGATTCTCTGAGTTTTAAAGCCTTAAACTGTTCATATATTTGGTTTTGTTTCAATTTGGATGTCATCGTAAGGGATGCGTTTAATATTTTTCAAATTTATTTATTTTATCTTTCAATGTATTGTTGGACCTTTTAAGATAGACGATAAACATTAAAATAAAAAATAATACAAAAGAAAACATTTATTACTGCCTATGAACGCTTTCAGCCAGAAACTAGAAACGATTCATTATTCTTTTTTCTTTCTATATAAACTAGTTTCCTGTAATGACTTCGCCTCTTCTCTTCGATTTTTTTTTTATTGTCTAGTATTCTCTCCTGCCATATTCTAAATATCACTCTAATTATTTTTTCAATTTAGCAAATACAAAAGTGAGCGTTTTCTGATAATTAATTTCGTATTTTTTCAAGGTTTCTCGCCATTAAATACAATAGGCCTAAAGATTAACAAAATAATAAACAAGCCAATGCAGGTTAAATGTTTCATTATGTTTCTGGTGTCGGCACCTTGCGGCAGTGCACAGGTATCGAAGAGAACACATGCTGACAGCCTGCAAGTGAAACGCTAGCCAAAACTGTAAGTAGGATATTTGTGGGTGGGGAAATGAAGACGGACAAGGAAGGACAAGAGGCTCTACAAACAGACAGGGCCGTGTTCATCTCGTTACAAATAGGGTCAATCATAGAGCGAACAAAGTTTAACCTTTCTCAAGTTTTCAATATGGATGATGATTCAGTTCGTGAAACCGTTTTTTGCAAGGTTTCGTGCTTTTCAAAGTCAACGGAACTGAGGAAATGCGACAATGATGGCTAGCCTTTGTTCTAACGCAAAGAAAAGTGAATGGCTACAAGAATGATACCAGACATTATCTAGAAGAGAAGATGGAGAATATTGAAATGAGAGTTGGGGAATACAGAGGTGTAGCAGGAATGTCCACAGAAGGTGGGAAACGTTGTAGGAACTTAGAAAAAAAGGGTAGAAAGAAGAGGAATTAGGGGTTCACAGAATAATATGAGAAGAAGGAAGAGGAAATGGAAACTGTGTTTATTCAGGGGTCAAAAGAAGGAAGAAAAGAAGGAAGAAAGGAATTGTGAGAGGAACATCCATTTGCAACATGGAGGAACGTAGAACGAGACAAAGAGTAAAACTAAGAGAAAAAAAAAAGACTGAATGTTATACAAATTAACAAAGGAAAAAAAATAAAGAAGACAGTCAAAAAGTAAAGAAAAGGGTAAGAGAGTGAGAAAATTGAAGAATACGAGATTTTAGAAGAAACTTCTATAGACAAAAAAGTAAATCAAATAATATTAAATAAAAAAAAGAGAAAAAAGAAAGAAGAAAAATGAACGTTCAAGAATGAAGAAGAGAGAAATGATGTTAGGAGTCAAAAGAGAAAGCGAAGAACAAAAAAACGAAGAAAAAAGCCAAGAGCTACTTTGGAGAAAAAAAAAAGGATTGAGAATAAAGAACAACTTGATATAAAAGAGAAGGAAAGAAATAAGAAAAGAAAGAATGAAGTAAGGAAGAAGGAAGGAAAGAAGTAAGTACGTAAGGAAAGAAGAGAAGAATGAAAGAAAGGAATAAATATAAGAGACGGACAGCCATTTGCAATATGGAGGATGGTAGAGCGACCCAAAGGGCAAAACAAAGGAAGGAAACAAAGATTCAATGTTATAGAAATCGGCAAACAAAAGGAAAGAAGGGGTTAGACAGTGACAAAATTTGAGGAATGGGAGATTTTAGAAGAAAAAAGAGTAAATGAAATAATAACAGAAAAAAGAGAGAAAGAATGAAGAAAAATGAACGTTCGAGAATGAAGAAGAGAGAAATGACGTATGGAGTCAAATGAGAAAACGAAGAAGAAATAAAAGATGAAATAGAGCAAGAAGCTATTTCTGAAAAAAAAAAAAAAAAAAGAAGGGATTGAGAATAACGAAGAACACCCAGAAAGAAAAGAGGAGGGAAGACATGTGAAATGAAAGAAGGAAAGAAAGTTGGAAAGAAAGGGAGTAGAAAAGCGGAAAAAAGGTAAGGGAAAAGAAAGGTGGAAATAAAAAAAGGAAGAAAGAAAAGAATGTAGGATGCAAGAAAGGGTGAATGAAAAGAGGAAGAAAGAATGGAGGAAGAAAAAAGAAAGAAAGAAGGAAAGGAAAGTGGAGGAAAGAAGGAAAGGAAAGAAGAAAAAAGGAAGAAAGAAAAGAAAAAAAATAAGGAGGAGGAAAGAAAAGAGGAAATAAAAGGGGAAGAAAGGAAAATAAAGAGGACGAAAGAAAGAAAAAAGAAAGAAAGAAAGAAAGAAAGAAAAGAAAAGAAAAGAAAAGAAATAAAGAAAGAAAGAAAGAAAGAAAGAAGACACATCTAGCAAAACATTAATATTTTGCCGATGAATCGACGTTATCAGAAACAAAAAAAATTGATTGAATCGTTTTTTTACGGTTTATCAACACTTTGGGAAGTTTATTGAAAACCAAACATTATTTTTAGATCGTAAGAATTTCTTGAGTGAGATAATATTGAATTAATGATACAAAATTTACTACAGAAGGATGCTGAGAATACCATGAAATAAACAAATGAAAAATGATTTAGAGAAAATGTAAACAAAAAGGGTATCTATATTTAACATAAGAAAGAGACAATTAAATTATTATGGTACATAATGAGGAAGAAGGGTTTAGAAAAATTGACACTCACAGTACATACTGAAGGCAAGTTGGACACTTTCACGTGGTGTAATGGTTAGCAAGCGCGTCTCGCTAGATCAATTATGACTGAGTAGTGAGTTCGATCTTCACTCGATGTTCCATACTTTCAGCTTTGTGCTTAGAAAATCTGCATACTGAAGTTAAGGGGAACGAATAAAAAAAGTGAATAACCTAACTAATAAGATTGTGAAAATGGATAGCAGAAGAGGGTTTTACTAAGCGATCCATAGAATAGGAAATTGTGGAGAGTCATGATCAACAACGTTCTGAAGAGACACATAACATAGAAGAAGAACGTCATTTTTTAAAACATAATTCAAATTCCAAGCCTTCTATCCAACATTGGATATTTTAATCAGTAAGTTATGTTACTTCACTCTTTAAACGACTAGATCGCTCGTCTAGTAACACACACACACATACATATATATATATGTATATATATATAGCGGGTATAACAGCAAAATTGTCCAAATCCTGTGACAGCATGCGATAACTGTCCATCCCACAAAATGTTTAATATCTAAAAGACCACGAAACTAATAGTTTTCAACTGAGCAATGGTGAGAGGAAAATGATCATGCAGGCCTTCATTAATAGCACCA